CCGGCGGGAATCCTTCCCAGGGCCACATGTCTAAGAACGCCAAGATCTGGCCATTACGCGTCATTACGCATTTGGGATGGCTTCATTGCCTTTTTATTCCATTCCATTTATTTCCATTTGACAAGCAACAGGCGGGCTTTGAGGATGAACTGCATAACCATGCCAATATTATTGGCAGAACATATTTCACTTTCTTTTTAGAAAATGTGTTTATTTGGTATTTCTGTTTGTTTTACGCTGCAGATCGATCAAACGGGGTGTTCGGCTATTTTCAGAGAGGCAGTATTGGCATTTCACTTTACACAAACAGTCTAGTGTTACACACTTTCACACACGTTTGCGTGTTTCGTGCATTAGCCGACGGTTCTCATTCCAAGCGTTTTTGTGCGTACGCATGGGTCCGAGCTTGCGTGAAGGACCGCACATTTTTCCGTCAAGTTTGCTTTCTATAAATACCAATTATTGCGTAGAGAGCGGCGTACGCCTGCTTTTGTGCGTACGCAACGTTTATAAATGAGGCCCTTGCTCTTATTCAGCGATTCATGCTAAGTAGGATCCCAAACAGCTCGGGGGGGGGGGGTTGATTTGTGGGAATGAGCTCTTGTATCTCGGTAATCACTCAGAGCGGTCAGCAGCACGCCGACCCTTTCTCTCAAAAGGACTGCCAGACGCACTCAACAGTTCAAAGGTCACCGCCTGGTGTCAGACGCCAGCTTCAAGACCCCACCTGTGCCGCGCCGGCTCGCCGTTTTTTCAATCCGCCGCGGCGCTGCAGAGGGCGCGGCGTGAGGAGGTGTTTGTATCGGCGCTGCCCCAAAGTTTCCAGACCTCTGAGCTCCAGTTTGCTGGAGTTTGCTTCTTTCCTTCCGTCAAACAAATCGAAAACCGCCACAGTGCATCAACACGGGGAGTTTTCAGGCTACTGCAGATACTGATACTGTTCTTTTCCATCTCAGGCTTTCATGCCTGGTATGTAAAATCACCATGTTAACATCTTCTTTACATCTCAGGGAACAGACATCATGGCTGTTTGCACAAGTCACTTGCTGTTGCAATAATCAAAGCACCATGTCGGGATCAACATCAGCAGCAACCACAATGCAGCTCTTGAGTGTTTTGACGTATCGCACAAGACACAATTAGCATTTGAGATCGGAGCATTAACATTCCGTTGGAGGCGGGCAGACTGGTATTTACATAATCTGGATGGGTTGTTTCTGCTTTGTTGCCCGTGGCCATTGGTTCCAAATGTCCACACGCAGACAAACTGCAGACTGTGGGTTCAATTCAGTCACTGCTGGCTGTGCAGGTAACACACAAAGAAACACAGGTAGTGTCGTAGCTGAATGCGCTGGGGGATTTCTTGTGGGCTGGTTGTCTGCTCAGTATCTCTTTGGATTTGATAAATGTTCGTTAGGCCATGCAGAGCAAGGCCTCGTGTGCAGGAGTCAACGATCACATGAGTGCATTGTTTTGATAGGTAAACATTTCTGCAGTTTGCATCACAACTGCAAGCTACAAGTTTTACTTAAAATCACAGCAGCCGTGGTGACAAAATGCAGAATGTGTTGGGCAGCTGCTTTGGTGTCCAGTGGAAGGGTGCAGAGGTCACCTTCTGCCCAGCGGAAAGGAAAAGTTAGCAGAGGAGAGCGACCCCATGACCTGCTCCTGAGCTGAGAGGAGTGTGATTTTCTGGATAAACCACTTTATAGCTCTAGAAAGTGAACTGTGGGGAGTGATTGTCTGCGACGCCTCTGGATCAGGGGCCTTCCAGTCTCAGTTCTGCAGAACCGACAACGTCTCAGAAACTCAAAAGCACTCTGTTCTCAACTCCCGAAGCGCATCATCTCCCCCGAGTTTCGTTACAGGCGAGGCCACTTCAACACGGCTCTCTGTGGCTTTACTGTAGTAGGGCATCAGCATGACATCACAGATGCGGATGTGTGATCTATGCTCGGTGGCCGCGGGCGGTTGGAGACAGTAGTGTGTGTTCACAGGCATAGCTGTCCCGGGGCAAAGGAGGGGCACGGCCATAAAATGAAATATAACAACAATGTTTCTCTCCGACCGGGTCCCAAGTCAGCGACTCGAGCGCCACTGACTTTGTAACTGAGATGTGGACTAACGGATTGCGTTGTGAATATGTGGAGCTGCCTTGGGAATGACGCTCTACGTAAGCATGCAAAAAGGTGGTTTTGTCATTACAGCGCCACCAAGTGACCAGTCCCGACAAACAACATCTCAATCTCTTTTTTTTACAGTTATTTTTTTTATTATTCGTGCGTCCTCTGAAACTGGTGAAACCAAGTGTCGTCATTCGTGGCAGGTGACCTAAAGTTAGAGGCTTTTGTTTTAATGCCCCGAAGAGCCTCCTCCTCCCTGCAGCACAGTCACACATGCAAAGACACCAAGTGCAACCTGTTTTTGTTGTTCAGGGTGTAAGCAATACATTCACAGCATTAACTGCGAGCACCTCAATAGATTTAGATAACAAATGCTTCGATACGCGAAACGGGTTCCGATTATTACTTCGTAAGCTACATTTGTCAATTCGCAGTCGGACCCTGGAGTCGATTACGCACGGCGCGGTCAACGAGACACGAGAGCAGAGGGGACAACATTCCGTCTCCGTTTACATAAATGTTAGTATCTAAACTGTTGGAGCTCGATTCGCACGCTGTGCGTCGACGTGT